ATGCCAGGAGCCCCTAGTAGCGTCCTTGCTCCTAGTAGCGATGCCAGAAGCCCCCGTAGCTTCTTGTTACTAGTAGCTACTTGCACTGCCGTGGTGCCGGTGTGTTTGGAGTATGGATTTGTTTCAGGAGGAAGGGCCAAGAGGTTTGGGCTGATTTGCTGACTGATGACGAGGACGAGTGGGTCTGAAGGGGAGATCGCTTTGCTCCAATGGGTTTGTCATCCAAAAGCCTGCGGGGATGGCGGACATAAGCTTTGACCTTTGTGTCCTAGATACTCACCTCTTTTTGAAGCCGAGGACTGAGGCCAGAGCTAAGAGCGTTCTCTGTTGTTTGAACCAAGGAACTCCCCGCCATGGACATACCTCTCAGGGTCGATCATGCGTACAGGTCCACTACATCCAGCAGGCTATTCGGCAATTCTGGCCAGCTGATGATTTCGCTTTGAAGATTTGGAGGGCATGCGGCATACATGAATTCTCTCGGTTGTGCTTTGCACCCGCTATGGTTGGGTATCGTGATACTCTCAGCTTGGGCAAGGAGAACTTCCCCAGCTGGGAGCCTAAGATTCAGGCCGGTTCGGGCCCGGGAAACGGGGTCAAGTCGGATTTGCAGCGATCCATCGATCGGTGATGTTCATTGATTTTTGCTCCATCGATCAGCTAGCAAAAGAAACGGACTGAAGTGTGCTTGCCGGAACGGTGATTGAACATGATTGAACACTCTCTTGGGTGTCTTTGAAAGCTCGTTTCTTCCAGGGACTGGGCGTGCCAGCGACGCAAGGCGGGCGGGTGCTGGAGTTGGAGCAGGTTCCATTTTCCGATGATTTTAAGATTTCATGGTCGGCTTGCCTGACATGCAGACTGTAGACCACAAAGGATGACGGCCTTATGAGCAATCAGGAGTAAAGTCTGTTTTGCATGGTTTTCCGATCCAGATACCAGGGGAAACGGTGTTCATTTCCCTGGTTTCCGCACCCCGTTCCCGTCGGACATGTCGGTCACTGTCTTCTTCCGACTGATCGGGACATCGCGAGGGCTTCTTTGGGATCCCCTGGGCCTTCAGGGCGATTTGCCGCTGGGCGGAATAACGCGCGGAGCGCGTCTGTCGGTTCCGATCGGATCGTCTCGGGGATGACCCCACTTTCCGCGAAAAGCGGTGGGGTGTGCGTCGCGCTTTTGAAAAGAAAAAGAAGCCAAGAAGCGGGAAAACTGGAGGATGACGTCAGTGCTGATCGATGAGAATGACAATTACATTGAAAGAACTCTTGCGATTTGAGTTTTCGGTGAGATTTTCGAGGGTGAGGACGATGCCAGAAATCATACTCATTGCATCCCTAGGGCCCTAGGTCCGAGGACAGCCGAGGACAGCTGTGCTATTCCATGTTGGTTGGGCCATTTCTGCCTTTTTGTTCACCAGTTGCTGAACTGAGCTTCAGACCCAGGTCCCCAGTCTCAGACCTTTTGTTCAACAAGATGGCCGGGGAGAAGCAGCTTCACCCGCGGACCAACAGCACTGCATTCGACAAGTGGTGGCTTTACTGCAGTGTCTGGAGCGATTCGGATGGAATGGCGCGTGGACTACGTTTCTTACATTTTCTTACTTTGATTCAGAACTAAACCTCAGCCACCAGCTTTAATTTCACTCTTTAGACTTTGAACCTTAGCCACAGTTTTGGGCGGTGGGTGTACTCAGTCTTGTCTCCGACTTGTCTCCCGTATAGCCCCAGTGGCTGACTCCAATTAAACTGTAAAGGAGGATCAGACCTAATTTTCAAATCATCATTCCTTTCAGCTAATTTGAACACCTGAAGCTTCCTGACTCAGTCCTACGAGTGTACTGCCTTAGCGAATCTTAGTGTGCTAGTGCTAGTGTATTTGATGGTTCACCTTGTGTCCCTGGAACTTGCTGATCCACTTCTCTCAGTTTTTGAGTGGAGGTCATGGAGCACCACAGCCACAGAGGCAGATTCGACGCTTCCCCCGCTACAAGAGGAGCAGGGAAGCCGCTTGAAACGGGTCGTTTTCGAACTCTTGAAGACCGCACGGAGATGGTTCCACGGAATATGAAACAGTATGGACTTGCAAAAGGTTTTCAATGGTTTTCAATAGGTTTGAATTGCACCCATGTCCGACATGCCCAATGATATTTGTGATATATGTCCTTTGGTGTGTTCGGGGAAGCCCACAGGAGTCTTCGCCCACCGGAGTCGGCAGCGGCAAGGTTCGGGATGGGTCGGGACACTCCTTGAAGGGTTTCTCTCAAACCAGGGCCATCAGGCATGGACACATTGTAGAAAAATACCAACTTTAACTTACAGTTTCTAGTTTGAACCCAAGACATTTGGTATTGCGCACATACCTTGAGACTGACAGGTTGGTTCGCTTCATTCAGTCTGTGGTCAATTCACCTTTTGGTACATCCTGGGCCACTCCACATACTCCAGAGCATCTCAAATCGGATAGCACACAGGCCAGGCTTTTGCAGTCTTCTTGCCTCGTTTTGGCTCCTGGAACGTTGAGCATCAGACCCCGGACGTGCCAAACCGCCCCGGACGTGTCTGCGGTTCTGGAACGGTGTTCCTCCCCTCCCATCCCAGACCAGCGAGACTGAGCCCGAGGCTCGGGGGGAGGGTTCCGGGTCTCCGGGTGGATCGGACGTGGGCGTTGGAAACGCCTCGAGAGGACGGGTGCACATCGGTGTGAAGGTACCATGAGGTCTGTGGCGTTTCGTGAGATCTGTGGTTGGTGCTTTTGAGTGAAGATGCACATTGATGTTGGAAAGTGGACAGATGTGGAAAGTGTACTATGATCTGTAAGTTTTGCTGTGTGCACGAAGACGTGGAATTGTGCTTTGTGCATCTTGGAGTTGTAAACCAATCTTCGCAGCGGCAGAGGAAGTGTGAGGTGAAGATGCGCGTTCTGTTGCGCCGTTTTTTTTCCGGAAGTGCTTAATGCTTGGGTTGGGAACCGCCTCACTTTGGAAGACGTCTCGCACGAAATGCATTGCTGAAGGCACAAACGGTCGTTTCGCTTGTGGATGGGGGTGCGGCGGCTAGCACTGTGTCGAGCAAGAGCGCCCTATGACAGTGTCCTAGAAGAGTGTCAGGCATGACTATCAAGCGCAAGAGTGACCGAGTGCCAATCAAGAGTGTCGCATAGGAGTGTCACAAGAATGTATCAGAAAAGTGTCGCGCAAGAGAGTTCAACAAGAGCCTCTCTTGCTTGGGAGCTTTACACGGGTGCCTCGCAAAAGTGTCCCACAAGAGTATCCTGGAAACATGTCACACAAGAGTGATACAGTGCTACACAAGAGGAAATGAGACACGTGTTGCGGGAGTATGGCAAGAGCGTCCTATAATTAGTTTCATTTAGAAGTGTCCTACAAAGCAGGCCACGTACAAGAGTGTCCTACAAGAGGGACTACAGCAATGTCCTATATGCAACAGTGTCCGACAAGAGAGTCACGCAAGAATGTTCCACAAGAGCGTCACAGAGAAGGGTCGTACAAGAGCCTTGCACAATGGCGTCCTACAAGAGTGTGACCACTAGTTTTTGTAAGTATGTTGCATTCGGGTTTGTGGGTTCAATAACTTTTTGCGTTGCCACAGGTGTTTTCCTTTTAGAGTGCAGGCGGATGTGTTGGTGTTTAGACGATTGTAGATCTGTATAATATAGACTATAGTCTATAGTATAGATCTTTTCCTTGATGTGAATCACTATGTTGTACTTGTACTGCTAGGTTTCAGTCTCATGACTTGCTTCCATCGCTCAAAAGACGCACAGACAGTCTATGTATGAGGTGTGTGGGAGGGGTGGTGCCCAGGGGATCGAAAAGAGGATCGACCGGTTTGCGCAGGCTTCGCAGGCTTCGCAAGTGCAGGAGGAGCAGCCGTTGTTGTTGGCGGCTCAGATCATGGAGATAGCGGCCAGCAACCTGCTTCAGCTCTCCCCACCTTAGGTTCAAACTCATACAGTGGCATGTAGATTAAACAGGAATCGGATATACAGATTCCAACAAATTCCCCGGGTCCCCTGGTCTGGTGGTCTTCTTCTTTGGTCCTCTTCCCCTCGACTTCTCGTTGTTACTTCCGGGTTGTTTGCTCCTTCTATTGTAGTCCATTGGATCAATGAATAGTCTAGGCTAGTGCCCGTGCCATGGGCATCATCAATCATGTCTTCGACTCGCTCTGGGGGTGAGGCGCTGTGCCCTCCTCCTAAAACGCCCCTCCAGCACCACGAAATCTGCACTACTTCTAGAGCATCACCTGCCAAAAAACACATTCTTTACCCACTGTATGCCTCCTGCGAAAAGGATCCTTGTCAAATCTGGTTCTTCTTTGCATTTACTGTTTGGTTTCTCTGGTCTGGTTGCATTGTCTCTGCTACTTGTTCTTGTAAAGCTTTTTCCTGTCATCTTTCATGTCAGCACAGCATTCAAATGAGAGCACTCACGCAGAGAGCACGCACACAGAAATTTTAAAACAGATGGCGTTGAGATATGTTGCTTTTGCATGTTTGCGCGCCATCTATACGCCCCCGCGGGGACTTGCACATAGCGCTCCGCTGCGTCACACCTCACACCCCCTGGACCCCCCCAAATTTGGCCATTCGCAGCTACGGTAGACAGCGCATGAGGAAAATCTAGGCTGCCCAAATTAGCCAGCAACAGTGCTTCAGTAGATGGCGCAAGAGAGACACCACTGCATGCAAAAGCCGGTGGTTCTGAACCCTCTCTGCTTTGTTCACTTCTCCATCTTTCCTCTCTTCCTACCTCTGCACTCTATACCTGCTCTCTGCTCTCCTCCTTTCCCTCCTCCCATCTACTGTACACAGCTGCGGTCCCGCCCAATCCCCTCTCACTCGCCCTACTGGCTGTTTCTCCTTCGTCTCTCCTCCTCTCCCTCCACTCCCTGTTCTTTGCCTCCCCTCCTCTTCCCTCTTCCTCTTCCCTTCTTTTGTCTCTTTCTCTTCTCTCTTCTCTCTGCTCCCTTCTCCCGTTTCCCTTCCCTTCTCTCCTTTTTTTTCTCTTTTCTCTCCTCTTCTCTCTTCTCTGCCCCTGGCACTTCACTTTCTTTTTTCTTTCTGTTGCTTCCCCTCCCCCCTCCCTCTCTCTCTCTCTCTTTTTTTCTCGCTCTCCCTTCTCTCGCCTCCCTTCTCTTTGTTCCATATTGTTTCAGCGCGCTGGTAGATGGCACCGCATCCAGAAGATTGCCAAACAAAACCGTCAATCTCCCTCCACATAATAGATGGCGCATCTATGTATTTGTGCTATGTCCTCTCCTCCATCTTCTTTTGAACCCCTATCGGCGTGACAGAACCTATCCCTCCACATTTTTTGAAGTTTTTCTGCGCCATTTGATTTGAATCTATTGTACATGTGTATTTATATATATATATATAAACCCCCGCACACACACATGTATTTGAGAGCCCACACATACGATAGGGCATGAGTGCGAGCGCGTGTGCACCAAATATTTCACTTGACACAGAATCTGCAACTTGAGACTCACAAAGACTACTCTTCACACGCTCTCTGCGCTTAGAGGTTCACAACATGTTGCGCCTGCACAGCATTGATGCATATTAATGCCGTGCCTAATACGAAAGCGCGCTGGGAGCATTTTGTTTTAACAGTAATCCTGCCTTTTCCTTCCTTTGATCCTATTGGAATAATTGATGCCGATTTCCTTTTAATTCCTTTTAATCCCTCACTCCTTACAGTTTGCCTGGAACTGCTGGTGTGTTGTAAAGGACACGGGATGGTTCGAAATTAATTCACTACGGTTGAACCTGGGACCCAACCAGTGATTTGTTTACATCGTAGCCAACGCCCGCCAGACCAAAGGTTGTCCACTCAAGATGGCATGGATGAACTCAGAAATCCTATCCAGGTCGCTGCACCCACCACTGCCGCCTTCGCAGCAGCTGCCGATCACTTCGCATATGCCAGTGCAGATGTCCCCAGTGCCCTTGCCGTTGCCCCCACACATGCAACTGCAACAGCAGGTGGCTGTGATGCCAATGCAGGTGGCTGGCGCATGACGTCCTCATGGCTGATCCCGATCGTTTCTTTGTTTCTTGTTTGATTCGGGGCTTCGACGAGTTATGACTGAGTTGCTTTTCGTTGAAGAACTCAGGCTTGTGGACGTTCCCTGTGTTTGATTGCACTACAAAACCATTTGGAGCGCATTTTCTCCCCCTAACATGGTTGTGTTCCGTAGTGCTAGGCTCCCCTCTTTCAGGGTACTCCCTTCTGCATCCTTCTGCCATGCCTGACCAATGAAGGCACCTCAGCCTCCAGTGATGGTGCCAGTTCCGATGCCTCAAATGCCCATGGGCATGGGAATTTTGCCCGTCGTGATGTCGCCCCTGGACTGAATAAGAGCTCCATGGGGCACTCGGGATCACCCGTGTTTTTGGGTATGGTGCATGGATGGCCTTAGGCCTTAGATTGCTAGATTCCTTAGATGCCTCGGTCTCATCGAATGTTTTCCATTCATGGACATCAAGGGATGGATTGCTGTCAGCTTGAGGACCTAGGAGTTCGAGAGCTCTTTGCTCCCAGGCAGCCTGCTATTTTTCAGTGTGTTCGAGAGCACAAGAGCTGGTGCTGTTTTGGACAACAAGTGGAAGAAGTACATACTCCATGAGGTCATCATGAGGTTCCCCATAGTTTGCCAGTCTCTCAACCTTGCAACACAGTCATGGCTGTGCCACTGCCACATTGTGTTTTTGATGTACCTTGTTCCTAAGGGGATGTGTCAAATCCCAGACCCCCCCACAAATAAGCAATCCATACGGACTTGTGACAGATTTCTTCTCAGGACATTGATGAACCATTCATCCACCATACCTTGGCCTCCGGAGCTACTCTGCCTTGTTTGGGTTTAGGATGCCTCAGATGCCACCGGTGCCCTCGCCCAACGCCAAACTTGCGACCTGCGGGGGATGCGGCGGGGCGGGCCAGGGCTTATCAAAGTCGAACATCACCGAACGTGTCCATTTCAGACATGTTTGGAGAGAATGGACCTCTCAAGAAGCCTTTGTTCCTATCGTTTTAGTTCTTTTTCCTATATACTCGGTGAACTTGGTGAACCCACGATGGTTGAGCGACCTATCCCCGTTGAGCGCCCGATTTTCTTCATATTCACCTGTTGAGCGACCGATTTTTCCCCATTTCTCACCGAACTGTTTCGCGATGTTCGTGTGATTTTCTGCGCTTGGCACCTTTTTTTAACAGTATTTTACTTGTATAATGAGTCCATTTCTGCACTGACTTACTGATTATGATTGGTATGATGCACAGACCTTTTATGATTGAGTGGCACAACTGTAGTCAAGGCTCAACCTCATTGTGCTGGGTTTCATTTGTTGCGCTTGACTCACGTGAGGTCTATATATTTCAAATGTTTTGTTTTGATGAGGTTTGGCATCAAATTCAATTGCCGAATTGAGGTCCTTGCTCCATGGTGCCATCCAATTTAGAATGTCAATTTCTTGAGTTTGCAGAACAATTGCATGCATTTGATTCTTTGGGTGATAAAACTTCTGGTGACCATCAATCGAACGTGCCAGAGGGAAGTTCCAGATCTGAAGTGTGACCAGCATTCGGTCGACGAACATTTTCACAACAACACCCCTTCAAATTGTCAAAAGAACATCGGAGAGTTAAGGCCATTGAGGCTGCTTGATCATGTGTCACCGTTCTTTGAACAGAGGTCGCAGGTCCTGATCCTTGGTCATCCAGCTGGTGAACCCTCTTCGATCCGTGAATAACTTCGGTGGCCATTCGTGTCGTCCCTTCATCCATTCTTGGATCCTTCCCGCACAACACACGACACAGCGCGCCCTCGGTGTGAGGTGCCCACCTTCACACCAGGCCGTTGGTTCAATTACGCGGTGACGCGCTTTGCTTTCGCTGCGAACGGGTGCTTATTTGAGGTCACAAGCTTATTGACCTCTTAAGTTCTGTGTAAACTTTATCTAAGCAGCAACTGGTGTCTTTGAGAAGTCCCTCCCACTGGACAGGAGAGTGTTGAATTCCTCCAAGTGAAGTCTGTTCAGTCGGGTGCTCCACCCAGCTGGCGAGGCGGCGTTGGCGCGCCCTCAGGCCCTGCCTTTGGCTGCGCGCACCGCTTTCACCAGAAGAACTCCAGCATGGGCGTCCTCTCACCAGATGCACGAAGCTTCACCAAGCGATACAACAAGGAGCGGTCTTTTTGTCTTGGTCGCGTTCGTCCGACGATTCCGACGGCGGTTTCGGGCAGTTCTGCATGGGTTGGGAATATCGATGCAACACGATTGAAGAGCTTGATGGAACCAAAAGCGGCAAAACGGCCTGTGAAGAATCATCATCATTGTGTGGGGTCTTCAGAAGCAGCACAACAATCAGTCCCTTTTTCGTGGGAAATGAGGCTGACCCAGGCCCTAGCCGCTGTACTGGTAATCTGTGATGACAGCACTTAGAGCGAACAGCACTTCGGCTGACACGGGCACCGACTCGGCTTGGCGCGTTGCGCGGTTCCGGCGAAAGCCGGCTCCGTCCTTCAGGGACGCTTGAGCATCATCTCCGAGAACAGGGTTCACTTCCAGGGGACCGTGCGATATGCCGTGCCCCGGTGGGAGGAGATGGAACTTCTTCGGCTGAACTAGAGAGAAGACGTGCTGAGTGATTTCGTCTCCAATCGGAAGGGGTCGAAGCCTTCCAATGAGTCAATATCTCTCCCAGGTGATTGATCGACAGAAGGCTGAACAGATTTGCAATCGTGCTGGATCAACTTAGCAAGTGCATCGCTACTAGTAACAAGGACATGATTACTAGTAACAAGAAGCCATTAGAAACAAGTGCAACGCTAGTAGTAACAAGTGCCTTACTAGTAGTAACAAGAAGCTATTAGGAACAAGTGCCTTACTAGTAGTAACAAGAAGCTATTAAGAACAAGTGCCTTACTAGTAGTAACAAGAAGCTATTAGGAACAAGTG